AGTGTCACCTTTGAACCAAACAATCAGTTGAGGCTCTATCTGTCCTCTCAGCTGGGCATGAATGATTTCATGAATATTGGAGGAGTTGTCTCCAAAACATTGGACAATAGTTATCCTTAAATAAACTGGTCATCTGGTCATTATCACACTTTAATTGCCATATTAAAATGCAGAAAGTTGGATAAATCCCTGGGACCTGATCAGGTGTACCCTAGAACTCTGTGGAAAGCTATGGGAAATGATTGCAGGGCCCCTTGCTGCGATATTTGTATCGTTGATAGCCACAGGTGAGGTGCCGGAAGTCTGGAGGTTGTACCACTATTTAAGAAAAGTTGTAAGGAAAAGCCAGAGAGCTATAGACTGGTGAGCCTGACATCGGTGGTGGGCAAGTTGTTGGAGGGAATCCTGAGGGACAGGATTTACTTGTACTTGGAAAGGCAAGGACTGATTAGGGATTGTCAACATAGCCTTATGTGTGGGAAATCATTCTCACTAACATGATTGAGTTTTTTGAAGAAGTAACAAAGAGGATTGATGAGGGCAGTGCGGGTGGATATGATCTATATGGACTTTAGTAAGGCATTCGACAATGTTCACATGGTAAATTGGTTAGCAAGGTTAGATCACCATGGAATACAGGGAACATTAATCATTTGGATACAGAACTGGCTCAAAGGTAGAAGACAGAAGGTGGTGGTGGAGGGTTGCTTTTCAGACTGGAGGCCTGTAATCAGCGGTGTGCCACAAGGATCGGTGTTGGGGCCACTGCTTTTTGTGACTTATATAAATGATTTGGATGTGAACATAGGAGGTATGGTTAGTAAGTTTGCAGATGACACTAAAATTGGAGATGTAGTAGATAGCGAAGAAGGTTACCTCAGAGTACAACAGGATCTTGATCAGATGGGCCAATGGGCTGAGGAGTGGCAGATGGAGTTTAATTTAGATAAATGAGAGGTGCTGCATTTTGGAAAGGCAAATCAAGGCAGGATTTATACACTTAATGGTAAGGTCCTGGGGAGTTTTGCTGAACAAAGAGACCTTGGAGTGCTGTTTCATTGTTCCTTGAAAGTGGAGTCGTGGGTAGATAGGATAATGAAGAAGGCATTTGATATGCTTGCCTTTATTGGTCAGTGCATTTAGTGTAGGAGTTGGGAGCTCATGGTGCGGCTGTACCGGACATCGGTTCGGCCACTTTAGGAGTATTGCATGCAATTTTGGTCTCCCTTCTATAGGAAGGATATTATGAAACTAGAAAACTTTCAGAATAGATTTTTGAGGATGTTGTCGGGGTTGGAGGGTTTGAGCTATAGGGAGAAGCTGAACAGGCTGAGGCTATTTTCTCTGGAACGTTGGAGGCTTAGGCGTGACCTTAAAAAAGTTTATAAAATCATGAGGGGCATGGAAGGGGTGAATGGTTAAGGTCTTTTCACAGGGTAGGGGAGTCCAAAACTAGAGGGCATAGGTTTAAGGCGAGAGGGGAAAGATTTAAAAGGGACCCAAGGGGCAACCTTTTCACGCAGAGGGTAGTGCGTGTATGGATCGAGCTGCCAGAGGAAATGGTGGAGTCTGGTAAGATTGCAACATTTAAAAGGCATCAGGATTGGTATATGAATAGGAAGCGTTTAGAGGGATATGGGCCAAATGCTGGCAAATGGGACTAGATTTATATAGGATATCTAGTTGGCATGGACGAGTTGGACGGAAGGGTCTGTTTCTCTATGACTGTATGACTCTATATTACAACAGCCCATAACCAGCAGAAGGATGGTAAAAGGAAGAGGTAGGACTGATTGACAAGTGAAAATATCTATATGTGGAGGGGGGAGGGGGTGGTGGGGAAGGCTGAGGTATTAAGTAAAGATTTGATATCTGTCTTTATTATGTTACCCAGACCACCGAGTCAGAATAGGAAACTCAATCATTAGCAGGGTTCAAAATTGATAAGGAGGAAGTTGGATATGCTATTGGTCAGCACAAGATTAAGTGCATCCATGACTATTGAAGGAAGTGAAAATAGAAATTGCAGAGGCACTGACCATAATCCCTCTGTCTTCCCTGAGCTTAGATGGTGGTGCTTGAGGACTGGAAAGTCACAAACCTAATGTCTTTCCTGAAAATAGAACGATATGCTCAACAATCATAGACAAGTCAGTTTAGCTTCAATGGTGAGGAAATTTACAGGAACAATAATCTGAGATTGAATTAATAGTCACATGGACAAATTTGGCTTAATTAAAGAGACTCAGCGTGGATTTCTTTAGGGAAAATCATGTTGGGCTAACTTGCTGGAATTTTATGAAGAGGTAACAGAGAGGATTGATGAAGGCAAAGCTATTGCTGTGGTATATGTGAACATTTAAAAGACTTTCAATACAGTGTCACACAACAAACATGTGAGAAAAGTAATAGCTGATGGAATAAAAGAGTCAGTAGCTCAAACCCTCTGAACCCGGCAACATCCTCAACTCTTTTCTGAAACTCGTCTAGTTTTACAATGTCCTTCCTATAGAAGGGAGACCAGAATTGCACTCAATACTCCTAAAGTGGCTGAAGCAATGTCCTGTACAGCCGTAATGTGACCTCCCAACTCCGACACTCAGTACACTGACCAATAAAGGTAAGCGCACCAAACACCTTCTTCACTATCCTATTTACCTGCGACTCCACTTTCAAGGAACTGCACTCCAGGGTCTCTTTGTTCAGCAACACTCTCCATGACCTTACCATCAAGTGTATAAGTCCTGCCTTGATTTGCCTTTCCAAAATGCAGCACCTCACATTTATCTAAATTAAACTCCATCTGTTGGTCCAGTGATAGAATACAGAGTGTAATGGTTTGTGGATACCTTTCACGCTGGAGAGAGATTTGTAGTGGAGTTCCCAGGGTGGGTATTGGGATCCTAGTTTTTACTAATTCATATAAACATAGGCCTAACAGTGAAAGCGGCATGTAAAAGACATGGCTAAGTGATTGCACATCCAACAGATTGGATTTAAACTCTGTAATCCTGCTACATTCTGTCATGAATAATGACAGACAATTAAACAACAAACCAGAGGAAGGACATTCCACAAGTATCTCCGTCCTCAATGATAGGGCAGTCTAGCACATCAGTGCAAAGGGTACTCATCTTTAGCTAGAAATGTCAAGTGGATAATGCGTACTCTCTTGAGGTCCTCAGCTTCGCTGCCTTCAGCAATGGCACAGAGTAGCAGTAGTGTGCACTGTCCACAAGATGTATTGCTTTCACTTGCTGAGGCTCCTTCAACTGCAGCTCCCAAACCTGTGAACTCTACCACCTGGAGGGGTGGGTCTGCAGATGCATGGGTGCACTACTACCTGTAAATTCCTTTCCAAGCCACACATTATCCTGTCTCGTAACTATATTGTCATTCCTTCACCGTCACTGGATCAAAATCCTGCAACTCCCTTCCTATCAGCAATGTGGCTGTCCTACATCTCATGGATTGCAGCAGTTGACTTGGCCAGTGATGCCTAATTCCATGATGAATAAAGTAAAAAATTTATTTTCCTAAAATGTTTAGTGTAGAAACTGGGCAAAGTTTTGAGCAATACATTCACTAACATCAACAAGCACTTTTCAGGTAAATTTCTCTTGGCATTCAATGCTAACAAAATAATGGTATATTTACTTCTCATTCCACCCATTATGACTGAAACTATATAAATACAAGTTGTAATTGTTGTTGGTCTCTGGCTTTGAGGATATAATTATATCTCTCTGGTTAGACATATGTCATTTCAGGGACATCTAGAACCTGTTTGCAATCTAAAATATGGAAATCTCCTCCATCCATTCCTTGCATATTCAACAGCTTAAAGCAATTTTCTGTGAACAAACTGTGTAGTAGGCACTATCTTTCTACCGTGCAATCTCATGATAGTACAATGAAACCTGGTGATGATTCTGTTATTGCAGAGTTACTTTCATACCAATGTCCTGTAAATATCACACTGTTTAAACTCTTTTGATAGATTTTAATCCACTCTCTTGTCAAATATTGGCAGTGGGTCATGTACTCACTACAAGGAGAGTCAAGGAGATTTTTTTTCATGCCATCAGTTTAAAATTCCCCAGGGAGTGATGCTTTCCATGCTTATTGCTTTTTATGAAAAGGTAAGTAATTAACCATTAGAGATTATTGGTTATGAAGCTTGAGGATACCACTCCATATCATGTGGCCAAGTAAGGAGGCAAATCACTATAAACCACATCTGCCAACAGGGAGATTAAACCCACACAGTCAGCATTATTCTACCCTACAATCTTGCCATCTAGCTGACTCACCTAACAAACAGTTTATGATAAAGGACTCAAAAAAGTTCTTGTAAAATCATTTGATGAACATTAGCTGTAGTCAGCCACAATCTGTTGGTGGTCACAACACAGAGATAAGATGCCTTCCCAGTAATATATCATTGAAGCTGTTTTCTAATTCACTTTGTATGTCATTTTCTTTTGCAAATATCCACCACACTCACTGGAAGTTGGCTGTAATTATTAAGGTGTATTGTTTCAAGAAATTAATTTAAGTAGGCATTGCACCTCGTTAGAAAGTTTTTTTTTAACTGCCAATTTCTGCAGAATATCTAGATTATGACCTAATGATAATGATAGCCTTAACCTGAGTTTACCAGTTTCAGTGGAAATATCTTGCTCATAAGAGAAAAATAGGTCTCCGTATGAAAAGAAGTTTACAGGTGCGCTTGAGTACAAAATAATATTTCAGAGTTGTATATGATTTTAGTTTAAAAAAGTATGTGAAACAGAGACTTATGAGTTTGTTTCTCAATTATTGCACATGGCTTTGTGAGAAGCCAGTAGTAATCAATTAGCCTGCTGAAGAAACAGGAAAAGTAAGTAGTCATTGAAATGTTGGTGTCAGCAGGGTTCAGATATTTTGTGAACAGAATAATTCACCATTCAAGGATTTAATATTCAGATACCTCAGATTAACAAAGTTTTCTTTTGCAGATATGTTGCTGGATGACTTTCTTCTCACATACACAGTCTTCATGTCAACCAATGACTTGTGTCACGCATTACTAAGGCAATATCCTTTCAGGTTTTTGCAGAGACTGCAAAGCAACTAAAATGTAAAGATTTATTATAGTTATGAAGCTATTTGTCAAATACCTTTCGACAGGGACAGGCACCCCTTACAATAATTAGATTTAATTATTTACCTTAGTTGAACCTGCAGTATTAAGTCATAAACCTAAAAATAGCACTAATGTGATCATTTATGTTCAATCTATTTCATATAGTTTTAGGTGGTTTATATTGTACAATAATATTCGTAGAATCAACCAATGTTGTAACAAGTGTGGCTTCCTACACGTTTTACGCTTGAAAATTAATGGCCCTGATATTCCAATGGCAGCTGGGATACCTGTGGATAGTTTTAAAAACATGCCCCTACATAGTTTTGATACATCCAGCCAAGATCCCAAGTATGTTCACCAAAGATAGCCAAAGAAAAATCCACTCAGTGCAGGCGCAGAGTTACAGACCAGGACTTGAACCTTTACACAAACTCATGCTGTATTTCAGGAATTAAAAGTCCCAAAGAGACTCTGACAGAGACTGAGGAAAGGTAAGTGGATATGTTGAGTGAGGGGATAGGGTGGCAGGTGGATTGGTAAGGGATAGTGTGCCAGGGTGTCAGGTGCGTAGGGTGTCAGGTAGGTAGGGTTCTAGGATGCCGGGTGGTAGATGCCAGGTAAGTGATGGAGTGCTTCAGTAGGGTTCAGAGTTTTGGATGCGAGGGATTGTAGGTCAAGTTGCTGGGGAAGGAGTGCCAGCTCTGGGGACAGTATTGAGTCTGGTGGGGAGGGTATTCATCGCAGTCCAGGGAATTGAGCCCCTGAGTGTTGACCCAGGAAATCAGGTCCAACCAGGGACGGATTGGTGGGGCGTGTACAGTCGGATTGGATGCCAACAATTGAGTTAGATTAGGAGGTGGTTGTCAGGGGTCTGAAAGATGTAGGGGTCAGGGGATTTGTAGTCTGGGGGGAGGTCAATGGTGAACTGGGTGGCAGTGTTGCTTAATACTTATTAATGGGTTAGATTAATTTTTTAATCCCCCTAATTTTTCTGGATTAACTATTATCTTAAGTGAGGCTTTCCACGCTCAAGGGACATGTCAATCGAAATCTTTAATTTCCAGGGCAATTCCCACAGAGTCAGCAGAGACACTGATTCTGCATTGACTTGACATAATTCCAAATGAAGCTGCTCCAGTAACTATCTGTTCACAAGAATGTGGAGTCAAAACGAGTGCTCACATATCAATAACAATAAGAATGACCATCTTAACTGCGAAGCTATGAATTACATCATTTCTGAGTTAGTAATTTGGATGCTGTTTACTGTCTCTGTGATAGTGCCATTCTGAACCAGTGCTCTGCACATTGAGCAGTAAATTCTTCCTTATTCAATCTCTTGCTGCGAACAGATGATGGTTCTGTGCTCCACTTCCTTCCAGCTTGGTGTGATGTTGTAGTTCACCGGAAAATGTGGCTCAGCTCCAAAACAAAGCACGCTTCCTTGCAGGACTCCACAGCTGCGTCCTGAAATACAGTCCAATCTGCCTTGTTTTCCTGTTCCTGCCCACTTCAAACTGTCTGTAGCAGACTATCTTTAATAGTGACCAGCAGGTCTTTGAAACCTGCTAGTACTCCCTGACACAATGCATCATGTACTGCATGCAGTGGCAGCAGAATAATGTGAACATGAACTGACTTGGGATTATCCTACAGTATTAAATCTAAGCAATGCAAGTATGTCAAGCAATGAGGAAGCAATCGTCTTAATATTAGGTATTCCCTTGTGCTTTTTTTTCTATGCTTCTGTTATCAATAAAGTGGATACTAAAATTAAAGTTAACAAGAAACACAATTACTTCATAGAGTACAGAAATAGAATGAAACAGTCATTAAAGGGGGATTCTAGAGCTAAAAGTATATTACTTGCACTTGATTCTTGTTCCCGACTATAGATTTCCCATGAGATGAACATGGTTGATGTTCTTCCTGTGCTAACCAGTCTTATGGCCTTTCTAAGTGTTGGCCCAGGAAATCAGGTCCAACCAGGGACGGTTGGTGGGGCATGGTGGAAATCTGAGTTAAAAGTAGAAAATACTGGCAACTTGTAACAGGTCTATTAATACCTGGTTAAGATGTCAGCCAAAGTTTAGTGGTGATACTGAGTTAGAGCCTATCCTACATGAGAAACTTTGCATACAATGCAGAATGACATTTCACTGAAGTACCGGGAAAGTAGAGAGTAATAGATAAAGATAAGGAGTGCTGACTCCAGTCAGATGGAAAAGAGAGCAACTGAGCTCATTGAAAACTCTGCCCATGTCTGACTTTCTCCAAGTTCCGTTCACATGTCACCCTTTTGCTTAATTATTCACTGGCTCCCAGTTGAGTAATAGCTTATTTTAAGATTCTTAGCATTGCTTTCAAATCTCTCCTTGGCCTCATTCCCCACTTCCTCTGTAACCTCCTCCAGATCAGTAACCTCCTAGGATATCTGTACTCTTCCACTCTGGCCACTTACACATTGTTTTCCTTCACTCTACCCGTGATGACATGTCTTTAGCTGCCTACATTTCTGAACCCTGGAATTACTTCCCTATAACTCTCCACCTGTACCTCTCTTCTGTCCTTTAACCTACGTTTTTAACCTAGTTTTTAGTTACCGGTCCTAATATCTGTTAATGTGGCTTGGTGCCAAATCTTGTTTGATGGAGTTCCTGTAAAGCACCTTACAACATTAACTATACTTGCAGCCCTATGTAAATGTAAGTTGTTTTTGTTAATAAATGGATATCAAACAAGGCTTCGGCAGGCTGGCAACAGCAGTACTTTATTATAAACGTGAACTCAAGAAAGTAATGAACAGACATGAAAGGAACTAAGTAGTATGAACATCATTAGGTAGTGCAGAGAGTTAGCATGAAAAACTTACACACAATAAATCAGGCAGAGGGGAAACCAAACAAAATTGAGAAAGTAACTTTGGCATCAAATTGCTAAAGTCCACTTCTTCAACAGTTTTCATTATCCTGGCAACAATCTCATTAACCCCATTATTTCCATACTTTCTATTTTTCTTTTGCATGATGTATTTAACTGATTTCGGCTAAACAAGGTGCACTCATAGCCAGTTTAGAGTTGTGGACTCCTGGATAGTGAATGCTGGACTGATAGTCCTCTAGCCACATTTCGTTTGATGGCCGTTAAGGGTTGTTAGAGAGACAAAACATTCTGACCCATCTATTTGGTTTGAATTCAATGTCGTATACGAAAACTTAAAGACAGTTTTCTAACACATTTCGTTCCAACTAACTAATTGATGATTATTTACTTCTCATAGAATTCTAGGGTAGGGTCTTCAACTACATTTATCATAAGTAGTGTTTTTGTTGAAATATTGCCTCACCCATGAATGTTAGGTTTTAAAGGTGTAATGGAGTGTACATGCAGTATCAGTCAGTCCAACTGATCTCCCCCTACTCTGGCCATTTGTTTGTACTGAACTAGATATATATCTAACCCAGACTAAACCTGTGGTGGGCTCTAGGATGATTTCACTGGGTTCATAGAATCATATAATACCCTTTGACCCATTGAGTCAGTACCACCAAAAAGACGCAACTCCCTTACTAGTCACACTTTCCCACACTAGACAAATAGCCTTGAATGGTGTGATGGTTCAAATGTTCATGCAAGTACCTTTTAAAGGATTGTGAGGTTATCTGCCTCAACTAACCTCCCCCCCAGGCAGTGCATTCCAAACCCCCACCATCCTCTGGGTGAGAAAATGTTTTCCTCAAATCCTTTCTCAACTTTATGCCTTTAAATTTAAAACTGTGTCTTCTTTTCTTGACCCTTTACTTAAGGGGAATGGCTGCTTCTTATCTTCCCTGAATATGTCCCTTATAATCTTATACACCTCTATCAGGCTCCCCCTCAGCCTTTCTTGCTCGAAAGAAAGCAACCTGAGATTATCTAACTTCTTTTCATCATTGAAATGCTCCATCCCAGGCAGTACAATCACATCCTTCTTATAATGGAGTAACCAGAACTGCACACAGTACTCTGGCTGTGGCCGAACCAAAATCCTATATAGCTCCAACATAACCTCCCTGCTTTTAATCTTTGTTACAACTGAGAAAGGCAAGTGTCCTGTATTCCTTCTTAACCACCCTATTAACCTGACCTGTTACCTTCAGGCACCTGTGGACAAGTACCCCAAGATCCATCTGTTGCTCTGAGCTTCCTAGTGTCCTGCCATTCATTGAGTATTCCTTTGTTTTGCTACTACTTCCCAAGTGCATCACCTCACGTTTATCAGAGTTAAATTCCCTTTGCCACTGTTCTGCCCATTTGACCAATTCATTTATATCCTTCAGTAACCTTCAGGAGGCTTTCCTCCTCACTGTCAACTGCCCAGCCAGTCTTTGTGTCATCTGCAAACTTAGTTATCATTCCCTCCACGATCTATATCATTTATGAATATCCCAAACTATAAGGGAGTCAGCACTGATCCCTGGGTACGCCACTGCACACGAGGCTCCAGTCACACAAACAGCTTGCTATTACCATCGTCTGTCTCCTGCCACTAAACCAATTTTGGATCCAGCTTGCCAAGCTTCCCTGGATCCCATGAGCTTGTACCTTCTTTATGAGTTTCCCATGTGGGACCTTGTCAAAGGCCTTTCAGAAATTCATGCAAACTACATCATCTGCCCTATCCTTGTTCAAACACTCTGAGGAATTTCAAGGTCAGTGTGTTTACACGAAGCATTGGTTTATAATATAAAGTACCATTAATGTAAAAACATTTCCTGAACTGTTGCAGAAAAACAAACTGTATATCCATTGTTTCTTTGCTCCTCTGATACATTAATTTTATACTGTATCACACCAAAGCTACAAAGAAACAGTATTGATGTATGTTATATTCAACAATAGTATAAAACGTGAGAGAACCCTAGCAACCCCTCATCTTTGTAGCTAGTCATTTAAGCCTAATTTAAGCTGTCAGTTGAGGATACTTCTTCTATTTCATGGGCTATGATTTTTGGGATTGGGTAACTTGTTAACGAGAGGTTCTTGTCCTTTTATGTAAGAGCTACTGAGCTTTTTGCGATCTAAGCGGTGTATAAGTGGTCACATTTCCTCTGCGGTACATCTGCAGAAATCTTTCTGACTTACTTTCATAACAGTGAGATCTGCCTGTGTTTGTACTTTGCAAATGGCTAACAGATGGAACAGCATTAGCAGCTAATAATTTTACTGACAGCCTATTCTCTCAGTTGAAAGAGCATTGATGGATACCAAAATCATATCACATACACTTGAGAAGTGTGAAAGATAAAACAAAATGCTAAACAACAACAGCTCACGACCTCTGACATCCCACATGATAGTCCTGGCAATTTCCCAGTACAGCCCTCATCTGTGCTACTCCGAGTATGGAGACACAGGTCTGAACGGATATGGCAGGTGACTGTCTCCTGTTGGCTAGGTTGGTGCAGAGGTGGGATTTCCTGTTCCCTCAGAACCAGGAGAAGAGGCCACGACATTAGGCCATGCCAAGCTGGTTTGAGGTCGCTACCCAGGTACAGAAGAAGAATGCTGTCAGGAGGAAGTTAATGGCCTTCACCCGCTGTGTGGAGAGCATCTTGACTCTAACGTTCCCCAGTGGCTGATTGACCGTATCCAAGATCCTGGACTGGCATCAGAGGCTGCCGTTGACGTATTGTGTTCGGACCCCCTGAGCGAAGACTGCCCCTCTTGACTTGACTGAGGCTTGCTGACACCTAAACCTCTTTGCTTCTTTGTCTGTGTGAGATGAAAGGTCAAGATTGAAGTAATGTGAGCCTTGTATCTTTGGATGAGGGGACAAAGTGCAAAAAGGCACAGCAAGGCAATGCAATGTAAGGCAGAGATGCTGTGAACATCCAGGTCAGCTCAGATTGCGTGAGTGCTATGAGAACAAGCGAAGAACCTAGCGATACAGCCTGGTCCAGTCCCTGAGCTGAGTGTGTTCCTGACAGCACAGCAGCAGTGTTATGTCATAGTTGGAGCCCAAAGTGCAGAAACATCTTGTAAGTGAATCGGAGATATGCGATGAGGGTTCGTAGAGGCAGGCAAATGTCAGATGTCAATGTCTGTGGATGTGGAGTGTATATAGCAAGTGCCTGTGGAGCGGACCCGGAGATGTTGGCATTGTGTATCCAAAATGAAGGTTTTTTGGGGCAAGGGGCCAGCTGGATTCACCATGTATATGCTGTAATTTCCACATTGAGTTTTCTTGATGCCTAGCTCTCTAACGCACCTCATAAGATAGGAAGCTGAATATTAATAAAGTGTATTCAGCAAGGTGTTTAATAAGCAATAATACCCCCTCAATTGACAACTAGCAAGAAACACACCACTCTGCTTGAAAAAAGCATAAAATGTGGAATAAGAGGCTTCCGACATTGAGATGGTCTTCACTGGACTTCATGTCCAATTCTGTGGCAAATCTCACTATAGCCCACGTTGCTCAGACAAACTATGATGGTGAAAACACTGCCCAGTGTGAAATTCAATTCTTCTGACCAGAAGAGACCCAGATCTCATCGTTGGTCCATGCTTCTTTCAGTAAGCTTCATCAGTACAAGAGTAAAAGTGTCAATATTTATCTAAATGCCAAAAGGGAGGAAGAAGATTGACCAAGGTTTCTGTTCCCCGTAAACATGACTGACTGCTGGTGGAAAAGAGCAAATGTTTGAATGAGAACTGAGTTGGCTTTGCTAGGATGCTTCTTGATGGTTGTTGAATCTGTATCACTCATTGTCTAGTTGGCCATGTGAGGGATGGCCATTTATTTTAGGTACAATAATGTGGTTAATGCTGGTGGATCATTAACCCACTAAGATTCAGCACATTTAAGAGAGGAAAAGTAAAGGCCAAGAGAGCGTATAATATTGAGCTAATATCTAATAACAAAATTTAACATTTTAAGCTCAGTGCTGCCAAATCCCTACATAGTGAATGAGATAAACTAATACATTCAGGATCTGAATTACGTAGTCCAAATTTACATTCTGGAGCTCCAATTATTTGCAGAATGGTTGCGCATTCATCACATGAATACAGTCTGGAAATTTATATCATCTGAAAAAGGTAAGAAGAGACAACAAAATTAATGGCAGGAAATATGTTGATTCTTTGATACCCAGAAAGATGCTTGAACTGCCAATGCAGTTAGCAAATCATTTCATGTCCCAAAGAGCAAGGTCTTTGAATTTGAGCCCTTCTCCAGGCGAGGAGAGGGTAACTTGATTTAATGGAAAACCTGGTTACAACATGCAGTGTAACTGACTACGATCCTGCAATTGATTTGAAGTAAGATAATTGATTTAGGACAACATTGTTGGGTATTTCTTGACAGACATAATTATAGGCACTACTGTTCACCCTTGGGGACTGGGCACTATATGATCATCATTTCTTTTGAACTAATTAATATTTTAAAGGGCACTGATAACATTTTATGAATCTTTCTCCTCTTGTGTGATTGTGACAGCAGCTATTGCATTTTTAAGTGGGACATGGCATCCCTAGCAAATTAATTGCCCATGCCCAATTGAGAAGTTCTTTGTGAAACTCCTTCTGGTCATTCTGTGTTTGTTTTGATGTCATGTCCACTGATATTCCTTGTGCTCCATCCAGGAATGCATTTAGAGGAATCACTAACCAATAAATATTGCTGAACTAAAATGGTGTGATTTTGTTCTAATAGGCAGCAGGCACAATCACAACAATTTAGAGAGAGATTACAGTATTACTTTAGGAATTAGAAACCATGAACTTAAATTGATGAACGTAAATCCTAGAGTGGATGAAAGTGTTAAACACAATATTTATGTGAGGAGCTTCATACTGGAAGAATATCTTTGAGAGACTGAGAAGTTAAGATAAAGTCTGCTACTCTTGGAACACAGACTGAGCATCAGTGGACAATGTTTGTAACCATACCATTATGCTAACATGAATTAGAGCTTATTGAACTTTCATTAAATACTGCATACTGTTGCTACTGTTCAGACATATTGAATTAAATATTGATTGTTAGACTTCTTCAGCACTTATAGAGGTAGAAACAGCTCCATAAGCTCACGGCAGTCAGCATCATTTCAGTTGGTCACTGATTAACCCATGTACATAGAAAGATTGGTCTCCTATATTGACTTCTCCCAAACATCTGAGCCAGAAAATAAATCATATTCTGACTTTCACAAACAGACTGGATGTACAATACATTTAAGAAATTGTTTTTGTCTTAATCACAAAGATATTTTCCTTGACTGAGTGCTACCTATTGTTCAAAGACATTTACAGAAAAACAAGAAGGCTCAGATAACAGCTTGTATCGAAAGCGCAAAGTGCTACGCATTGTTTCACAGTGGGTATATCTTTACAGGACTTTGTTACGAGAAGATGAAAATACTAAGTTGGTTTTCAAGGTACAGTACTCTAAAAGAAAAAAGTTCTGTCTTTCTTTTAAAGTCTTCACAATATGTAGTTCCTAATTTTTGTGCTACAGAACCTTTATAGGTGCGTACTTGATGATCTTTATGAATATCCTAGTTTGGAAAAGGAATTGAAAGAACTTCAGAGCCTGTTTTGGATTCCACGCAGGCAGTGAGTACAATGAAAATAATATTTCTTGCCTGGAACTGTGTTGTTTACTGCTTTTAATATTTGAGGAATTGTGGCTACATTGTTATCATTCATTGTGGCGACAACTCAAGGGGAGGGGCATAGTTCATGAGGCACTCTTAACTATTCATTTCATGGGTACATTCCACAACAGAATGGTAATAACTTCCATTTATGACATTTTATTATCCAGTAATTGGTAAAGATTTCCCCACAGTGACCTTTAATTCTTATATAGTATCAAGTAGTGTTACATAAGCTGACAAAGAATGTGCCCAGCTGTGACCTGAATATTCACTTTGTTTAAATAACCACTATCATCTCTGTCTAAATTTCTATTTTGTGTTGATCCAAATTTGAAACTTTTCAATTAAACCATGTTTCTTTGCTATTTCATTAGTCAACATAAATTTATGTTTTGTACCATGTGGTGGTAAATTGATTTTAAAAAGTCCTTCTCAAAAGTCTGTTTCCCCAATTTAGTGTGCCAATCCATAGTTTAATTTACTTGCCAGTATTGGATAGATTAAAACATTCTTTTAAAATAATATTCACTTATTTGAGTTTAAAAATTAAGTGCCAAATATTTATTGTTCAAATTGCAAAGAAAAGCAGGATTCCCAGTAGTGTTCTATGAATTTTTACTATTTGGTTCCAGAAATTCTCCTAAGGGAGAGTGATGGTGGTAGTGGAGGGAGGTCAGTCAAGTTCCTGGGCTTTGGCCTTCCTGCTGCCATTTAAATATGGTGAGGTAGTTACAGGATGACTGATCAAATTCTTTCCTTTTCCTAGTATGTTTGCATTCCCTGAAATTGGAAGGGTTTCTCTGGGAAAGTGTAGGCCTGGGTGTCAACAGAATATGTGGATTGTGGGGACACATGATCAAGCACAATAGGCTTTGAATCTAATGTCCACACACAGACTTTAACTAGAAGTGACCAGGAGATAGAATCCTACCTGATTTTTCTTCCCCCTCACTAGTCCAGGGAGATTGATACCATTTAATTCATGGTAGATGAGGCGTGGAGCTTGAGTCCTCCCTGATCCTTGAAGCTCGATTTTACACTGAACAGGTACACTTGCCACTTTATTCATTTAAGGAGCTTTGTAGTAAGTTACAAGTCTAGTTCACATTCTAAAGAAGCAGAATATACATCTTTAGTTAAAAAGTGAGAATCAGTTTCTGCATTGTGTGCTTATTTTAATCCAGTAACGCTTGCTACAATGGTGTATATGGAGTCAGTTTCAGAGGTTAAGACCTGTTTCTACATCATCAAAATGTCATTTAGTAATGCTCAGTAAATGGTTTTTGGCCTTGTGAAAATATTAATACAGTTGAGGTGCTCTCATGAAAAACAAGGCTTATTTATTTATGGCTTCCATTCTATCATGCTGAAGACAGTAATGAACTCCTGCACTTTAATTCACATGATGTTGAGGCTTGAAAGTTGAATTCAAAAAGCTTTTATAATTGTTAAATTTATGTCCCTCTTGTTGTTAATTTCCCTTAGCCCTAAAGTTGCAGAACAATATTTACATTGAAAACATCTGAAGATTCTATCTACAAAACGGTGTTTATTGTAGCATCATGATAATGTTCGCTTCTTTTTACTCAATTTACTCTTAATGGCTGACCCAATCCATCCAATCATCAGATAGATGAAAATATCTTGAAACTGTTCTTCAAAATAACACCATCAACATAATAGACTAATGGTGTTCACTGTCATTTATGTGTAAATAGTATAGTCCAGTCAGACAGATCCACCACTAAATATGAGTAACAATATCCATAACTTACTGGCTCAGTTGTGCCACTTCACCACTAGCTTCACAAAAATAGCATCTTGTTGTATGCCTCACCATTGCCATAAATTGAACAATGTGAAGTAGTGTTTGCACAATATATATGACTAAACCCCAACTGATATTTAGGGAAGTTTATAAGCACCTACTTAATGGTGATAAATGTTAATGACTACCAATCAATACCTTTGGTACTAAACCAAACCTTATTCCTTAAAATTGTGAATTGTTTTAGGAAATTTTAAGAAAATATCATTTTTTACAATTCTTGTATTTCCATTCTGCATATTTTTTCTCTCTGTTTATCAAACCTTTCTTTTCCTCTCTTTGTTTTCTTTTCTGCACTGGATACTGAATTCACCTCATTTAATTCCTATGCCTTCCATTATTTATTTCCCAGTCCTTTAATCTGATTTGTAAATGAGACAACCGTGATGGCTTTTCTGTTTACTCAGGTCCCAGACATCTGATATTATTTGCTGTGCTGATGTCAGTTCACATGTAACAAGTAACAACCTTGTAGGACAAAGTCCTTTGTGGTGATTGATGTAGGGACAGATCTAACAACAACAGATGCCCTGATCTGATCCAATCTCAAACTATTATCACCAACTCTGCCATTTAAATTTCCACCACACTACCTTTTGTCTTCTCTCAAGACATTGCTAGAAATTGCAGTGCCGCATTCGTGTTAGAAAAGGGTGAAACTTAGCAGAGGAGTCATAATTCTCAGCATGCTTTAAACCCCCTGCAGATATGTTGCTCAGTTTTGGCAGTAAATGGCAATTTGAGGTTTTGGTGAGGTCCCAGGCACTGAATTTTCACTGCTAAAATTTTACAGTTGCCCCTGATTACAAAGTATAATGTCCTTTACACTCATTTAAATTGTGTTTAATGAGGTCAGGTTTCAGGTACAGATTCATCTCATGCATGTCAGTTATATGCAATATACAAAGAGTTGAGTTTTGGCCCAGAATAATCACCTGAAATGTCCGATTGTCTGCATAAAAAGTGAATGAGATCAATGTCCCAATAAGATTTTAGTCATTAATTAAATCCCAACAACCTTCACTTATCCCCCAATATCACTCGAGCAGAGGCCAATTATCATCTTTAGGGTGTTGGATAATAACACTTCTGTGAACCTTCAAACCTGCAAAGTCAAGACACGTTTTCCTTTACTTGAAAAATGACAGACTTCTGACCTCCAGCAGTTCTTAATATGGAATGAGAGAAAGTAGAAAGATTAATAAGGTAGTCCAATACATAAGTGAGAGACTCTGATTGCCTGTCCCTTCCTTGAGTCTCACTGCTTCCTGTGTAAATCTGCTTTAAATTTGGAATGATTTCAAAGATTTTACCTTGAGTTCTTTGATTCTGATCATCCCACGACCTCTGATCTTTCATTTCATAGAAAAACAATGAGAGGTGCATGAGGCATGTTGCTAAGACCATAGGAGTAGGGATGGGGCTGATGGGTTATTGCCCGTATCATAGAAGCATAGCTAGGGGTGGGGGTGAGGCAAGTGACTGGAGTTGGGACTTAAGCCTGAGACCTCCTTTCCTTTTCAAACCAATTACAAAATCACTACCCATTCACACCTCACCCCATATCAGGGAGGAGATTACTGGGATTCACTGCCAGGCTGCCTGCTGGAAATAGCCCCCACAAAACAACCACTTTCCAAAGCCAAACAACTCACCAAGGAGAGCGATCCCTCTGCTGTCTTGTTGCCGAATGGCCTCAGACTCACACATGTGCAGACTCAAAAAGTGAGGACAGGGGAGGAGATCGGGGACAATGGCGTCTCAGGAAGCTCAGACCCTAGACAGGAAGCCAAATTCCAGGCCAGTCCTAAACATTTCCACCCTGGGCATCACGCTCCTGTTGTTTTAGAGATATTCTGTATCAGCCTGCTTCATTTTCTCCTCTCTTTGACACATCCCTTGCTCATTCAGATCTTCTCACATGTCATCATGTAAGTGTGTGCCTCCAACACAATCCAATTGTGAGAATCTCAAGGTCTGAGTTACCCTAGATTAAGCACACACTCCATCCTGGATTTTGTTTCTCAAGGTACCCTACCTCATCCCTCCTCCTCCACATAGGGCCTTTGTTTCTTTCAAAGCAAAGGTGTTATGCATTATGACTCACTTTCCACTGCCTTCCATCAATTGTTTTGCCAATGTGAATTGGGACTGGAAAAGCTGACCATTCATGCATAAAGCAGATAGTTAGCAACAAAGATGGTTTCCACCTATAACCAATTGTAGTAAGTTTTTGTAGTGGTCTGTCTTGCCAGGGGCCAACAATAAGTCTAGACAGTACGTGATTGACATCTGTATACAGTGCAGGAGTGAGGCTTAGGTTAATCTCAGCCGTTTTTACATACTTCCCAGTGGGTTATTTCAAAGGGTCAGGACATTTATGCAAGTTGTTTTTTGCTTGTCTTCTAAACATTATCAAATACAATGAAAGGGAAAGGAAAGTGATGATATATTTGACAATGCATTTAGTCAGCATTGATTTGTTTCTGTTTCAGCACCATTGATGAATATTCACCGCACAAAAAGGTAATATATTTATGATAAATTCAAGATCTGTTACTTTCAACATTCCTGCACATAACCATGAAAATTTTGCAGTGTTCTATTCCAAAGGAAAAGTTGCCTTGTATAGTGATAGTGGTGGTTCAGGATGCATTACTTGTTAAACATAGCCACTGGTTCTGGGAGGAAACAAAATAGAACAGAATGTTATCACTAATTGTGTGAAATTGGATGTCTTTACATTATAATTTACAAACAATTGTGTTGTATCTAGCAGAAAATAATTTCCGTGTTAAACCTCTGCATGCATGTTGTTTCAGTTTTTCATTAATGATCTCCGAGCACATTGAATTTATATTTCTAACCATGTTATATTTGTTGGCTAGCATCTCCTACTACAGGCTTCCTTAGCGGGTAGATTTACTTCATGATACAACTGGGTTTCATAATTGAACCTAAACACCCTCACTGGCCCTGAAAGCTAATTCCATATTTGAAGAATGACAAATTTCTCCATTATAATAAAAAGTCCACCCTTTTGAAAAAAATGTTTTTAAAGTTTCTTTACTTTTCTTTTATTCTTCATGCGCTGTGGGCATTACAAACCAGGGTAGCATTTATTATCCTTCCCTATTTGGCCTGGAGAAAGTAGTAGTGAGCTCCCTTCTTGAACTGATGCAGCCCTTGAAGTAAAGGTGAACATGGTCGCTGTTAGGAAGGGAGTTTCAAGATTTTGACCCAGTGACAGTGAAGAAGCAGCAATATTGCAACAAGTTAGGATGGTGAGTGGCTTGGAGGAAACTGGCAGGTGGTGGTGTTATTATGCATGTGCTGTCTTTATCTTAGTATGTGATGGAGGGAGCAGTTTGGAAGCCACTTGTGAAGGAGTACTTTAGAGTTACTGCAGTGCATCATGATATACCATGGTATACCATGCTGCCATTATATGTCAATGAAGTAGTGATTGTTGAAGTTGATGGATGGTTTAACAAACAAGCAGGTTGCTGTCCCAGGAAATTCCCAGAAAAGTTCAGACAAAGGATTTCGGCCCAAATCGTTGACTTTCCTGCTCCTCAGATGCTGTCTGACCTATTGTGCTTTCCCAGCCTAACACCTATAGACTATGGCTTCCAGCATCTGTGGTCCTTATTGTCTCCAAGCAGGTTGCTTTGTTGTGGATGGTGTCAACCTTTTTGTTGTTGGAGCTGCATTCATCCAGGCAATAAGAGAGAATGCTACTGGAAGCCTGACTGTAACCTTATGGATGGCGGACAGGCTTTGGCGAGACAGGAAGTGAGTTGCTTGCTTCAGAATTCCCAGTCTCTGACCTGCTGTTTTGGCCATGGCATTTATACAGCTGGTCCAGTTTGGTTTGTGGTGAATGGCAACTTCCCAGGATTTTGGTGTGGGAATTCCGAGATGATAACACCATTGAATGTCAAGGGGACGTTATCTAAATTGTAGCGTGATCACTTACTTTACAAACTAAAAATATAAATTAAAATTGACAGATCAAGCACTTTTAACCAGATGCTTCCATGTGAATGGCTGTTTACTCAATTTATTGACATCACAGCTGCTGCATGCCTGAAAATCCTTTTGCCTTGGTGCTAGTTTTAAACAACAATTTAAAAATTAACAGTCCACACCATAAAGATCAGCAGATGCTACTGACTGTAATATCTGGGCAATTGCTGACATACAATTCACTTGTAATCAATCAAAATCTACTGCAAATTGTGCCACCATGTTCCCTAACCTCAGACTAGAACTGGCATGCGTAACACAGGTCTCAGTTTAACTTATCTTAACCTTAGATTTTTGAAGCATGGCTTGCATGTAGGAAATAAAAATTCTACCCAGTAGGGCATTAAACCACTCATTGTTTTAAGATTGATGTTGATGCTGCTTTAGTGAAGTGAGATTAAGCTGCTTTTCCATTGCAGTTTAGCCTTGGGATGCTTTGTATGCATGTTAATATTTACTAGAGTTCATCCAGTAATTTGCGCCTATGTTTTTGTTATAGTGTGAATACACCTTCAAATGATAATCAAAACATATTGTTCACTAACATATGTTAACAGCATGTGAATGTATTAGTTTCATGCTTAAATGAATAAATAGAGTTGTATTCAGACATTTTGTCTCCATCATCATGAAATTTGATCAATTTTATCAAAATCCAAAATTAATTAGGCGACACAATTATTAAAAATGGAGTGCACTCTATTTAGTATCTGGTCCTTTTACCTTATGTATAAGTTAAATAACCAGAAGTTTAAACTGTTCGGAAATAATTACACAACATTACACTGAAGATAGGAAAAGTATTGAGTTACAGTTGGTTCATATAAAAAGAAACTTTGGGGCAATATATATTTAATTTGAACACTAACGTTTAATAACATTTTCGAGAAGCAAAGGCATTCAAATAAACTAGGATCAACAACTCAGTTGATTTTAAGGTGAAAAGCAGGTGGTTTAAAGGGGATTTAAGGATTTTTTTTTCTCCCAAAAGATGGTGGGAATCTGGAATGCACTGTCTGGGAGGGTAGTAGAGGTAGGAAACCTCACTGTTTTAAAAAAAAAAATATGTGGATGAACATTTGAAATGTCAAAACATTCTAGGCTTTGAGCCATATGCTGGAAAGTGAGATTAGTGCAGATAGCTTGGCTCAGACCTGAGCCAAAGGGCCTCCTGTGTTGTCTGACTCTGATTATGACTGTATGATCCAGCATCATATTGGTGCATGCATTAAAGCCTCCAGGAACTCAGTGTCAGCCAAAACTTCAGATAGTTAATCCCTTGATTGGCTTACAAATAAAAGTGCAAATGTAGAGAAATCAGTGCAGGTAGCCAATGCTAATGTAGACCTACAGAACCCAACTGAATTGCTGTTTCTGAAAGCTAATAACTTCAGAAATTTCAGTCTTCCGACTTCAGGTCTACTAAAATTCAGGATGCTCAGCTCGATTAACAAATTAATGCTTTTCTC